GACTACAGGGAGGAGGCTAAAAGTCCATTTCAATGTTTTTTTTTTTTTTTTTAAAAAGACCAATTACACAAAGTATAAAAGCTGGCTGTCAACTTCATGATTAATAGAAGAGACTGGAGCTAGTTGCCGCACTTCATACTCCAGCGAATACTTCTCTATTATTGAAAGTTAATATCAAAGTTTTCCACAGTTATTGATAAAAAACATTTGCCAAATTGACTTTTGTCTCAAAATCTCAAAGTGACAGAGATGAAGCCCTTGTGACAAGTGAAAGCTGGTTTGGGTTAAAAGTGAAGTCTACATCAAGAGCATTCCACTAGCAGAGGAAAGTCGTCCAACTTTTTTTTTTAATGATCTCTCCAGGCTCTTCGGGGAAAGTAATTGGCTAAAACATGGGGAGGAACCCACCTGCTGGGAGACGGTGGCACTGGAGCTTTTAAATGCAAATGCAACTTGCTATCGCTCATATCCCAGCACACTTATGCACCAAGACTGTACCACATACTTAGTGGCTATCAGAAATCTGAAAATGTTAAAGTTAGTTTACTCAAAAATGAAAAGTATGATACTAATTACTCACCCTTGTGCCTTTCCAAACCCTAAAGATTAAATTAATTTAGATTAAGCAGAAAAGAAAATGAATTAATGAAAAATATGAGAGATATCTGTAACCCTCCATTGACAGGAAAAGTCATGAGAAGTTTATAGTCCAGAAAAAAAAACATTAAAAAAATGTGACTTCAGTGGTTCAACTGTATACAAAGCTCCAAGAACAGCATGGAGGATGAGGGAGCTCTCGAATTTGGTCTAAAATATCTTTCTCAGTCTCAGGGGATTGGTACGACATGAAGGTGAGTAATTAATAGGGGTTGTTCCGATACCAATACTAGTATCGGAAATACTCACAGATACTGCAAAAACTCTGGCATCATTATCAGCGAGTATTTGAAACCATAAAATACAATACATCTTTTAAATTAGAATTATGTAAGCTTTAAAGGTGCGGGGTGAAAGTTTGACTCCTAGCGGTTGAACTAGGTATTGCACTCTTGGTTCAAAGTACACGCAAGCACAAATTGCGAGATTGAACACATAAACAGGAGTGTGTCTGACAAACGAGCCTATAGGCTGATTTAAACCGTGTTCTAAATAAAGTAACAGCACGCGATACAAGGAATATTTTCCATATTAAAACGTTTTTGTCCTAACCAACACCTGAAATTTCTATTTTGGTAACGGCTTCTATTTCTTGCAGCTGAACAACAAGATAAACTGACAATGATCACATCAGGTACACCTCCTGGGCTTTATTCAGTGTTAAAGGCTAATAATGTGAGTTTAAATGCCATTTTACATGACATTTAGGCCCAATCCCCATTTTACCCCTTAGCCCTTCCCCTTACCCCACGTTTTGTGCGTTCCTGTGAAAGAGTAGGAGTGTCCCAATTCTCTGATCTCATATGAAGTAAGAGATTGCGATGAAATATGAAGACGTGTACAGGTGTTGCAGTGCTGTCCCATTTCTTAGGGGTGAATTTTGAAGCCTTTCCCCTTCACACTCTGTTTTAAGGGCCATGGGGAAGGGGTAGGGGTACGAAAATAGAATTGGGATTGGGCCTTATTGTCATATACTGAAAACAGCAGCAGATTTACCTAAGATCTTGAAAATAAAATAAACCTTTTGAAATTTAACTTTAGAGCTGTGACTCAGCGAAAGGTATTCAGCGTGTACATTTATCAATGTTAAAGAGGTTTAATATGCAATAATTAGATTATAAACTTTACTATTTCATTGAAGTGCAGTAAGTGTACTATTATGTGCTTCTGAATGACTGTATTTACATTTCTGTCATGTTTTGTCTAGTGCAGTGGTTCTCAAACTTTTATCATCAAGTACCACCTTAGAAAAAAATTGTCTCTCCAAGTACCACCAAAATGAGTAGTATTGAAATACAGTAGCGTAGTAGGCCCAGTAAAGCAGCTACAACTCTGCACAGTTAAAAAAACGTGGCAGATTACTTCAGATATATAGGCTATATGTCATATATGGCATATTATACACATAATTTTAGATAAATTTTTAAATATATGTAGCACGTAGGCCTACATGACATATTTCATTCCTCCGCGTACCACTAGAAGGAAGCCTGCGTACCACTAGTGGTACACGTACCACAGTTTGAGAACCACTGTTCTAGTGCAAACAGCCAAATTTTATTATTACAGCAAATTTCGTCATGTATCGTTTTGTTAGTACATGGTTTTACGATTTAACCTGCTCACCTAATGTTCACGTTCATATATATATGAACTCTGAATCTGCGTCTTATTTTGTGGTCTGCTACCATCCACCAGAGGTCGCATTTCGGTCACGGACGCATACTTTGATATCCTTCCTGACTGAATAAATCAAATATGCTGTTTTCCACCAAGATTACCCGAGGTGCTGAAATATAAGTGGCTAAACTAGCATTGGGCGGGTTAAAGGGACCAAAACAAAAATAGAAATGCTTGCACGTAATGCACATTTTCAAAACAGAATATCTGACTTCAGTATTGTTTTTCAGATAAACATGTTCACTTGGCATGCTTCTTAAATATCTGCAAACATATTATGGCATGTTTTTGCTTTAGAAGAATCAAAACTTACATTCAGCACCTTTAAGAAATGCCTTTGTTAAACAGCAATGTAAACGATTTAATTCCACTTTGCATTGCTTTCCTCTTTGCTTTCCTATTTCTCCAACCTTCTCACATTTGCTCTTTACAACATTCCCCCACACTTCAACTTACTCTTCTACATTTGCTTAAAAGAAAATTACTATTGGTCTTTTTTTCTGCAGTACATCTCTATGCTAGTTGGTACTTGGCCAGATTTTGTATTTTTTTCAATAACTTTCTTACACAGTCTTATAAACTCCTAAGCATTCGCAAGTTGTCAAATTAACATGTGATGATACTTGCTTTTAAATAAACATCTATTAAGCAATAGTTCACTCAGAAATTAAGATGCAGAAGATTATCTCTCCCTCAGGCCATCCAAGATGTAGATGAGGGTTTTTTTTCTTCGTCTGAACAGATTTTTCACTTGCTCAGCAAAGGATCCTCTGTATGTTTGTTTACAACCGCTTGGAGTGTTTTCACTTGTAAACAGTGCTTGATCAGTGAATATTTCTCTCCTGAATCAGTCAAAACAACTTTTTTTCATTGAATAAAAGAATTTTATGACTAGAGGACTCACATTTTAGCTGGAAGCAATGTACTGAAGTTACAAACATTTTAACGATGAATTTGATTCCTAATAACGTTCAGGTTTTTGCTAAAGTTAACTGCTGATAATGATTATAATAATTACTTGTGGATTATTGTTTTTAATCAGGGGTTTTTGTTTTTACTTAAAATTTGTTCCATTGAAAATAATTCTGAAATCTTTCCTATATGGTTGAACTACTTAATCATCATTAAACTATTACAAAAACTGCTAATTAAGTAACAATGAATAAGGCCAGACAGAATCTGCAGATCATTTTTGCTATTTCTGCTTCCCACACATAGACTTTACTTGGGCAGGTCGCCCAGGTATTTTAATGACCACCCCCAAGTATACTCTGACACATTTTTTTACTATTATCATCATCATCCTTTTACACTTCTTTATGTATCCACCCAATATAACCAAACATATGTGAGTGATTAAGTAGTGGAAAATCTCCTCTCCTTTACCAGTTTCATACTGCTGGATTATTTCAATAATCTACACATTTTATTCTTGCAATTATTATCATTTTTAGAGATATTGCTTCTGTCATTTATTTTTTTATTCGCTGGATATTTTATTAATTTAATTATGTTAATATATTACATATTTTATACATCTAAAATGATTTCACAATACTGTATAAAATGTCATGCCAATAAAGCAACATGAACTTGAATGAGAGATGGAGAGAAGCCAATTTGACCTGTCAGTGGGTGCACATGGCTCCTGAATAGCATAAAAGTAAAAAGAGTGGATTTTTTTATTTATTTGAACAGTCTTTTTTTACTTTAACTGGTTGAAAAGCAAAAGTTTACAACAGAAAAAAAAAAAAAATAATGTTAAAAATCTAATTATGTTTTGTTTGTCGCATTGTTATTAATTTTAGTGCTTCCACCGCAAGTATACTTCAAACTTGTGGTAAGCACTGAGATATACATAAACAAAGTAAACAAAATACATCTACTAAAAGACAAACTGTATTGTACATATGCAAGTCTTTTAAACATCTGCATATTAATCAAAAACTGTACTGAAATAAATATCAAACAGAATAAATGTATATTTACACACATTAACATAAGCAAATAGACGAAATTTTCTGCATGTGCAGATTCCGTGCGGCCCACCAATTTTTTTTTATATGTTTTGTAAATTTATATAAATTATTTTGTTTGTTTTAGTGTTTATTTTGATTAAAAGATTTTACTCCCTAAACAACACCAACAATACTAGCTCTTGCTATACCCATAAACTTGATTAGTACTTCTAAACATAGACAAACCTGTACATTCATTCATTTTATTTTTAGCTTAGTCCCTTTATTAATCAGGGCTCGACACAACGGAATGAACCGCCAACTTATCAAGAATATGTTTTACACAGCAGATGCCCTTCCAGCTAAAACCCAGTACTGGGAAATATCAATACACACTCATTCTCACACACACATTCACACACACACACACACACACACATTCTCACACACACACACACACACATTCACTCACACTCACACAGTTATATTCACCTATAGTGCATATCTTTACACTGTGGGGAAAGGCGGAGCACCCTAGGAGGAAACCCACATGAACATGGAGAACATGCAAACTCCACAGAGAAATGCCAACTGGCTCAGCCAGGACTCGAACCAGCGACCTTCTTGCTGTAAGGCAACCACGGACCCACCGTGTGGCCCCATATAGTTTTATAAATAAAAAACTTTAGGCAGTAAAATGTGAACAAAAGGTTTACAGGCACTGTGATGTGCATTTATTGTAAAGTTTAAAAAGAATGAATAGGAATGTGAAAATTAAAAAAAAAAAAAGGTTTGCACATTTGCTTAAGGTAAAAAAAAAACATTAAAAACACATGAAATAAAAGGATGTAACATAACTGCTTGATTGATTATAAACAATAATAATCAAGTAAAATAATAAATAATAACATTATAGAACACCATCACAGTGAAAAATGAACTAGATATGAATGCAGCATTTCCCAATAACTCGTCAGAAACGTGTGCCGAGCAAAACAGCAGGTAGTCATTTCTCAAGGCTTTAGAAAAGAATTCGAGCAAGTGCTGCACTTTAAAAAAGGTAATTTTCTGCTGTTATTAATGCTCCTTCTAAAAGAAATTGTTCATTTGATGGCACAGACGGCAAATTTAAAATCCATAAATGAACCCAGAGAGGAGTCATGGAAATCTTAAAAGCTTTTGCAGTGTCACTCAAATTAGCACTTCTTTTTTTTGTCAGATATTCTGCATGGCAAGAACACAGACGTCAGAATCTATCTTTACATTCATGAAAGCACAAACTCAGAAAGATTAGTCTGACGTAGGTGTTCTTTCTATTTTCATGCCCTCAATCATTTCAATCACCTTGTCTGCGATGAAGAACTGTGTTTTTAAAGTCCTGCAGACGGTCGCTGGTTATTGCGTCCCGCAGCGCTTTGAAGAAGCCGAGGTAATGTGCCATGTTGTGCAGCATGAGTAAAACACCGGCGAGTAGCTCGTTGGTCACCAGTAAATGATGGACATATGCTCTCATGTGCTTCTGACAGCAGTAGCAAACGCAGCCCTCCACAAGCGGCCGGAAATCATCACGATATCTGAAAGTCAGAAAGGACATAAGGGGATTTGTTTTCACAACAGGTTTGCTGGATGTTGGAGGGAATTAAAATGTATGGACTTTTTGATGCAAATTCTAGAAATAATTCAAGGACAAATTTGCAATAAAATGCAACAAAAGAAAAAAATGCAAACAATCAATCAATAAAATTAGAAAAAAAAGAATGCCAGGTTTTAAAAGAGAAACAATTGCTACAACATGATAAAACTGATAAACATTATTTTATATAGCAGATATGCCCAAACTAGGGCCCGCAAGCCAAAGTTGGCCCATAGTAACCTTTGATTTGGCTCACTGTACCTGAGAAGAGAGTGAGAATCATGCAAAAGAGTTGGAGCGAATGCCTTTAACAGAGATGGTAACTTATAATTTGATGTAACTTATTTTTTTTGTTTTATAGCTGAGCCACAAAAAAAGTACACTGAAATTAATTGTTTTAACTACATATTACTAAATAAATCAGATTTCTTTAAATATAAATAGTCACATGACAAATCAAAGCAAATACAAGTGCAACTTGACAAATGTAACTATTCTGTTATAAATGTGATATATTTAAATCATTATAAAACTAAAAGATATATTATTATTTTTTATATATCAAATAAATCAAGAAATTACCCATGGAAACTTTAATGTAATAGAGTTTGCTATATTTAACTTCAGCTCATCACACTCAATCAAGTTTGGTTTGTGGCCCTTCATAAGAAAAGGTTTGGACACTCAAGGTAGCTAGCGTCTTTAAAAGTAGCATCTCAGATTGCTTTACATACACATTAAAAGCATAGCAGAGAAATATACATAATAGGGCTGCCCGATATTGGAAAAATCTGACAGTGAGATATTTTGTTTTGCCGCAATATACATTGCTATATGAATATAATTTCACCAGATGATTTGACAAGCTCTATTTGGAAAGATTTCCTTAATTTAGATCGACTGGGATGATCAGTCTGTCTTTTTCTATGTGGTGCATCTGCATAAATTATAATAAATTACAAGCAAGATAAATTATTAAATAAATAAATAAATAGTGCTTTATTGTTTTCTGGAAAGTCTAACAGTATTCAAGTACAGAAACTGAAGAATAAAAATGTAAAATAACATGGTCGCTATTGTATAAATAAATAAAGCAACTAATATTTAATAACATCTTTATTTTCAACCTTAAATAAAGTATTACAATTAAAGTAATTAAGTATTTAAGTATTATTACTTGTCTATAAACAATTAAATTGCCTAGGACTTCAATACATTACAGATGTGCTCACAGATTACAAACCTAACAGATCCCTCAGATCATTAGGATCAAGTAAATTAGAAATTCTGAGAGTTAAGACAACGCAGGGTGAATTGGCCTTCAGCTACAGCGCCCCCTGCTGCTGGAATCAGTTCCAGATATGATCAAGCAGATGTGCTCCAACACTAGGCACATTCAAATCAAGACTGAAAACACATCTGTTTAGCTGTGCCTTTACTGACTGAGCACTGCACTACGTCCAACAGATCACACTATTATGTCTTTTTCTTATTTTTAATTCTTTTAAAATTTAACACATTTTAATCTGTTTTTAATAACTTTTATTCTTTGTTGTTTTTATTTTCTTGTACGCGTTTCTTTTAATTCTTGTTTTTGTGCTATATAAATAAACTTGTCTTGCCTTAATAAATCATTTAAACCCGTGATGTGACTATTTCAGATACAGAAACTGCAAAATCGATGCTCAAATTATATTTTGTTCAGCCCTAATAGATACAAGGATACATGCACTAAAAAAAATAATAAATAAACAAGGAAATATTTGAAATCACATTAAAAAAAAAAAAAAACCTATGAAACCTACCCTAAAAAAGAAATGATAGGTCTAGAAGGTAAAATAAAAGATCCTAAGTAATTTTGTCTGTTAATGACATTGATTTTACGCCAGGTTATTGAAATGTTTAAAAACTTAACTAATTTTTTGTAAAAAGCAAATTGTAAAAATAAGTTAAAAGCAGAAATCTGCAATGCTAAATAAAAATAAAAATAAATATGTACACAAAAATAAAGCCAATATTATTATAAACTGACTGAATAAATAAAATAAAATCAAAATAATTTGAAATTTAAAAAAATGCATTCAAAAACAAACAAATACATATGCAAAAGAAAATTACTGAAATAACTTCAATAAAATATAATAAATAAGAAATTAATAAAAAATAAAAAAGGAAGAAATAATATTTATTTGGGTTTTAAAAGGAGATATAGCTTCAAAGCATGTTATAAGGAAAATCATTTTTATAATGTGTTTTTTTACATGAGTATTTTTACATTAGTAAAATCTGGGTCTAAAAACTGAAAATTAAGCTGAAATATAAATCAAAAAGTCCTGAAGTCCCCTTTCTATTGTGCGTATTGATGAGATGTGATACCAAAGTTACCTAAAACTGTATTGAATACGGTTTCTATATTCCTGTAAGGCTTGAAGCTTACACTGCTATTCTGAACCAATAATCGGAAACAGGAAGCAGTTGAAGGATGGGGTGTTTAAATCAATCATTTATCTCCATTGTATTTAATCTAACTCCATTACAGTTTTTATCATGATTGATAAAGAATCTCAATGCCTTAAAGCAGGCAAAGTTATTTATTAAGTTACTTGTTATTTTCTGGAATGTCCCATTAATCCTTCATTAGCATAGAAGGAATAGCATATAATATTGTCTCAGCTTATATTACTATCATACCACTTCTTATATGGAATAACAACAAAAGGAAAATACCAATAACATAACAAACAGAAATACTTCATCTCAAATACAGTTTAGTTGTTTTTTCAATATCCAGTAAAACAGCGTGTTATCCTATCCTCTGGTTGTCATCTACATGAGATTTAAGACACTGGATGTTGGGGGTTGGAAATCCTTTAGTTTAATATCCTACATCGCTCCTTTGACCGCTAATCTGATCCGACTCTAGTGATAGAGCCAATGTTATGGAAATGAGCTCAAAAGTGAGTATGAATTACTGCCATATTGCATTTATTTACTCTCATATCCAAGTTGAGGTGACTGAGATCATGAAAGAAAGCATTAGATGTGCATGAAAGCATTGGTGGCTTCATCTGATATGATCTTATGCGTTTGAGGCGTGAAAGGGCACGTCCTTGGCCCCTTTTACATACACATACCTTTTGTCTTTGAGATTGATTTCAAAAGGCGTCATATTTTCCACATCTTCATTTGCACTCGGCTTTTTGACTTCAGGTGTTTCTCCATTGCATTCCAACACTGTTTCAAATATACACAAAAACACACACACACACACACACACACGATTGAACATTTATCACAAGGCAAATTAAATGGCATACACATTTCATGACTGGATCAAAGTGGGTGTTTTTTATGTCTTGTGTGTGCATGTCAATAAAACGTGCCATTTTCATGTAACCGAGTGAAAATATTGATATTGTACAGCAGATTTAATGTACAAATATTAAGTGGACTTTTATATGTGTGCGGGGTGTTGCTTATATCATTATTTTAGCATTACCAAGTAGCTATTATAATTGTATTATGTAGTTTGGATCATTTTTACATAAATTAAAATAAAACTAACATAAAAACCTATTGGAGCTAACATTAACAATGAAACTTTTATTTAAAAAATGTTTATTAACAAAGATTAATGAATGGAAAAAAGATCAGGTGCCTTGCCTATGCAAGTTTTAGGAACAACTAATAATAATTTGACTTCTAGTTGATCATTTGGTATCAGAAGTGGCTAATATGAAAGGCAAAGGCCTCTAGATTACTCTTATTTTACCAAAATAAAATATAACCATACCTTGATTTTTAATTATTTAATTAGACAGTAAGGTCTGACTTTGCTTAGACAAAAGTCTTGTCACTTAACAAAAATAATGTGCAGTATAGAAAATAAAGTGATGGTGCAGTGGAAAAAGAATGAATATTGTGTACGACTCCCATGAGCTTGGAGGACTGCATCCATAAATCTCTGCAATGATTCAAATATCTTATTAATAAAGTCATCTGAAATGGCTAAGAAAGCGTTATTGCAGGACTCCCAGAGTTCATCAAGTTTCTTTGGATTCATCTTCAATGCCTCCTCCATCATACACCAGACATGCTTAATAATGTTAAAGTCTGGGAACTGGGCTGGCCAATCCTGAAGCACCTTGACCTTTTTTGCTTTCAGGAACTTTGATGTGGAGGCTGGAGTATAAGAAGGAGTGCTATCCTGCTGAAGCATTTGCCCTCTCCTGTGGTTCATAATGTAATGGGTAGCACAAATGCCTTAATAGCTCAGGCTGTTGATGTTGCCATCCACTCTGCAAATCTCTCACACGTCCCCATACTGAATGTAACCCCAAACCATGATTTTTCCTTTACCAAACTTGACTGATTTCTATGAGAATCTTGCGTCCATGCTGATTCCAATAGGTCTGAAGATGCAGTTCAACATTCAAAATCTACCTTCTGCCACTTTTCCAAATTATCAATTAGAAGTGAAATTATTATTTATTGCTCTTGCAACTGACATCAATGGCAAGATTTTTTTCAGGTGGTGTATTCAGTCAAATGAAAATGAAAAAACATTTCCTTGGCAACTACCAACATTTTTCAATGCAAATTTGAGTTTGATTTTATTTTAGGTTAAAAAAATCTGAGAAAAGTCTTAGATGTATGGTTTAGTTAACTATAACTTTGCTGGTCTGTACATCTCAAACCACTTACCAGTAGTCATGTGAATACAAGATAAACATATAACAAAAGTACAATATAAATATATTTTTGAGTATATAAGGAAAAAAGAGAGCACAGTGTAGATTTAGAGTGCTGTAGAGCAGGTGTGAAAGAGAACAGGAGTAGTGAGTGGATTAAAACTCATGACCCGCAGTGACAAAAGGTGACGGATTGGGGCGAGTGTATGGCCCGACTCCCACTGGAGCTCTCTAATTGGCTGAGGATTCATATCTTTCTTACCCGATTCTCCAAGTCCCTGTCCTGAACTCTATTACCATCCTAACACATCGATTAGCTTCCTCTTAGAACAGCATGCTGCACACCAAACAGCCCCAATCAATTATTTATGCCCCATAGTGAATTTTTAATGCGTCTTCATGTGATCTAGATACTCACTGGATATACAGCAGGACGGCTATTCTTACAGGATATGCTTTTGAAAAGTAGAAAGCAACACCAGATTGTGTGAAACCATAATGAGGTTTGACTTGATGTGTGCTCCTGCTGACCGTGAAGACAAGAGACGGATTCCCAAGGCTCTGGTATGTTTGAAACAAGGTAATTATTTAATCCAACTGGGGCCTGAACAAACACGCTCTCTACAAATGTTGTTCTTTAAACTCAAACTTAATTATCCAAAAGCACATGCTGAGGATAAAAAACTATCCCACATGTGGCTCATTGTTCCTGCTGGCACTGAACTGGCAGCTGACACTTTTAAAATGACTTTATACAGGCATTTTATTGTGCTAAGCAGCTCTTTTGTGTCACAAGAACAATCTGATACAGGCTTCGCCTAAAATGAAAGGTTCAGTGTTAAAAAAAATTCTATTATGCCAGTTTCACACATACGAGAGAAAAAAATATGTAACTATGGCAACGACTAAACTTGAAAATATGGTAAATATTCTTCAAATGAATTTTGATCGATATATAGCCAAGTCTTAGGTTTTTATTTTTATTTTCTTAAAAACAGAATGGTTTAACCCTGTATTTTCTGCTTTTTGAACAGCAAGAGAAATATAATTGTTGTCAACTGAACCACAGAACTTAAGTGTACTTTAGTGTGCTGCGAAAGAAAAATGTAATTAACAGATGCCTATACCTTTTAATTTAGGGATGTTTTAATACACTATAGGACAAAAGTCCCAGTTGTAAGAGCAACAAATAATATCTTGACTTCTAATTGATCATTTGAAAAAGTGGCAGAAGGTAGATTTTTCCGATGAATCATCCTTTGAACTGCATCCCAATCATCACAAATACTGCAGAAGACCTATTAGAACCTACATGAATCCAAGATTCTCTCAGAAATCAGTCAAGTTTGATAAGGAAAAATCATGGTTTGGGGTTACATTCAGTATGGGGGCGTGCGAGAGATCTGCAAAGGGGATGGCAACATCAACAGCCTGAGGTATCAAGACATTTGTGCTGCGGATCACATTACAAACCACAGGAGAGGGCAAATTCATCAGCAGGATAGCACTCCTTTTCATACCTCAGGCTCCACATCAAATTTCTTGAAAGTAAAAAAAGTCAAGGTGCTCCAGGATTGGCCAGCCCAGTCACCACAAATTAACATTATTGAGCATGTCTGAGGTAAGATGGAGGATGAACTCTGAGAGTCCTGCAAGAACACTTATTTTGCCATTCCAGATAAAAAAAAATTTTCCACAGCACTATGACTTTATATTCTATACTGTACATTATTTCTGTTGGGTGACAAGACTTTTGTCTCAGCAAAGTCAGACCTTACTATCCTAATTAAATAATTAAAAATCAAGGCATGATCATATAATCTAGAGGTCTTTGCCTTTCATATAAGCCCCTTTTGATGCCAAATGATCATCTAGAAGTCAAGTTATTATTTATTGTTCCTAAAACTTGGATAGGGGACAAGACTTTTGTCAGCTAGTGCAGTGTTTCTCAACTGGTGGGTCCCATTTTTGGGTCGCGGGAACATTTTCAGAGAGTGTTAAAAAAAAAAAGTTACATTTTTTACTTATTTTGCGTATATCGGACTTTTATTTTGAAATGCGTGCGCGACAACCCTACCGTTTGACATGTGAAGTTTCATTTAATTATTGTAACAAATATGTCAAGCACAAGTACGACCCCGAATATGTAAAGTATGGACATATATTGACGACGAAAAAGATTTATAGCTTCAGTGTCATATGTAGTGAGGTGCTCTCATAAGAGAGCATGAAACCTTCTAAATTAAAACAACATTTAGAAACCAGAAAACATGTTTTATTAACAGTTTATTATTAACAGTATTTGTCGTTTTTACTTTGTAATATTTCTATAATTTGATACATTTTGTTAAATGAAAGCAATAAAATAGTGTTTATTTGTAAGTCTTGGTGAATTTCTTATGACGTATCCGTCACTACTTGTTTATGTTAATAAATAAATACAAATTAAGTTTAATTCCTAAAATTCTATTATAGTTCCTAAAAGTTTGGGTCGTGGCTTGATGACCATGTAAAAATGTGGCTCCCATGGCCAAACCAGTTGAGAACTGCTGAGCTAGTGTATATAGCAACATGGAAAGTTTATTTTTCCTCTGACATCTTTTCATGTTGAAAAGTTTACAAAAGCAACTATTATTCATATTTTAGTAGCTTAAAACAATATATTGCCTGGGGTATAAAAGTAAATGTGTTCTAAAGTTTAGAAACGTATGTGTAAGGAATGTGATACTGAACCAATTTGTTCTGCAATTGTGAAAAAATAAAATTATTGTTATTCCAAAGGCCTAATAATTCTGCCTTCCTTTTTTAAAGGAAAATCACCAATAGAATCCCAACGAACAAACATCCTTACATGCTTCTGAAACTGCAATGAATCTGCAGTTTGGAAGCTCAAACCACTAAGCAGCTTTTAAGTCCACTAATCGGAGAAAATACCCACAAAAATAAAAGAAATTTTTCACCAAAAGAAGAAATAAATAAACATCTTGAATGGTGGTGAATAAATGATTTTAAAAAAATTATACTGAAAATGAACACTTTAAACATGTAATATCTTTTCAATAATGCAACTAAGGACTTCTTCACACCTGTAGAGGCTGATGTACCTGCCGTCTCCGGGTCAGGATCAATAGTGTAGTTGAATGAAAGGGCACAGCCTCGCTCCGTCACCTGGAAGGGGAAAAAGCTCTCGAACAGGTCGACTCCAGCTTCAACACAGCTAATGACCTCATCAGGACGGCCCACTCCCAGCACCAGTCTGACATAGACAGCAAAAACTCAACATCAGTGCACTGAATGTCCTGCTTTAAAAGAGTTCTTTTAAGGTTTAAATGCACTACATCAGTAAAATGTAATCCTTATATGCCTTAAAGGGAGTTATTATTAATTAAAGGTTAAATATAAAGGTTAATTAAAGGTCATAGTCATCTCTGCATGTTAAGCTGAGATAGAAAAAAAATATTTAAACACTGAATGAACGTCATACTGTAAATGAAACTGGTGCTTTGGAAATTTTTTTTCTTTGCCCTATTGGTTTTGGGAGTAGTGTTCTCCACCTCTGAAAGACAAATTATTGTGAACCTCAGTGATAAATCAAAGCCAGGCTCAGCCCAGGGTAAATCATTAAGAACTAATACAAAGACCAGCACATCTGCAGTTTTTTTTTTCTGCAGGTCCCCACACTAAGGTTCAATGGAGATCTAAAAACCCATTTCAAACACATTGACAAACTCATGCACTAAAACATAGATTGTTGTTGAGGTCACCCTTAAAGTTTGGATAGTTTAGCAAACAAACAAAGTAAGCAGCAAATAGCAAAAAGACAATTACACAGTTTAAAAGAGTGAGGTCAGTAAAATGTTTAATGCTTTTGAAAGCCCTGTGTTCACTAGGGTTGCATTTATTAGATTAAAACATAATTATAATGTTATTACAGTTTAAAATATCTTTATTCTACTTGAAAGCCCAGACCGGCACACTACTACCACCACCACCACCACATTTTAATAATTGTTTCACGTTCTTTTTCTGAAATGCGATGTGACTTTTAAGCCACATATGATAGGACACTCCTTACAAACAGTTCAACTTTTGTCTCAATTGACCGAGTATTTTCCCAAAAAGTTTTGGAGATCATCGTGATGTTTTCTGGCAAAAATTAGATAAGCCTGTATGTTCTTTTTGCTCTGCAGTGGTTTTCATCTAGGAACTCTGCCATGCATATCATTTTTGCCCAGTTTCTCTTATGGTGGAGTCATGAACACTGACATTAACTGAGGCATGCGAGGCCTGCAGACCATTAGATGTTGCTTTGGGGGATCTTTTGTGGTCTCTTGGATGAGTTGTAGCTGCCCTTTTGGGGTGATTTTGGCTACCCGGTCACTCCTGGGAAGGTAATTTGCCATTTCATGTTTTTGTCATTTGTAGATAATGGCTCTTCCTGTAGTTCACTGCGGTCCCAAAGTTTTATAATAGGCTTTATTACATTCTCCACAATGGTAGATGTCATATATATATATATATATATATATATATATATATATATATATATATATATATATTATTTCTTATTTGTTTTTGAATTTTTTTTGGATTTTGACATGATGTCTAGCTTTTGAGGATCTTTTGGTCTACTTCACTTTGTCAGACAGGTCTTATGCAAGTCATTTCTTGATTGTGAATAGGTGTGGCTGCAATCAGGCCTGGGTGTGGCCAGAGAAATTGAACTCAGGTGTGATGAACCAGTGTTATGTTTTAATAGAGGGCAAACTTTTTCACACGGGGCTATGAAGTTTTGGATTTTGTTTTCATTATTAATAAAAACCTTCATATAAAAACTGCATTGTGTGTTTACTTGTGTTACCTTTGACCAATATTTAAATGAGTTTGATGATCAGAAACATTAAAGTGTGAAAAACAGGCAAAAAATGAATAAATCAGTAAGGGGGCAAATACTTTTTCACAGCACTGTATATCTAAATTAAACTACAATGGAAGTTCATGTGCACATATAAGAGTATGAAAACACATCACTGTCCATAAATACTGCAGCAGAGAAACACAGAAACATCGTGTCCTGTTCTAAACCTACTGTAAATTATGTATCCTGTCCTCCAGCCTGACTGCCTCACAACCTTCTCCAGCTCCAGTTATTTGTGACCGGAGATGCACCCAAGGGAAATGTCGATTTCTAACAAGAGTATAAAGCCTGGTGGGGAACAGCCCTCTTAAGACCCCACTGGGCCCCAAGGACACTTCCAGATTCACACTGCTTCACTTCTAGCCTTTGTCTTGCTGTCTCTGTTTGATTCTGTAACCTCTCAATCAATCTCCACCAGAGAAAAATCGATCATTACACCACCAGGACCTTAAGCTCAAGCTTTCTACTGAAACCTTTCAAAGCTCACCACTTCCAGCTCTCCAAATGGCATGAGTTGCTTGTTAGGGGCTCCTGATGGGATGGAGTGTTGCTATGGTTGCTGAGAACTGAGGTGCATAATCAGAGAGTAATAGAATGAGAAACATCTACAGTAACCACTAAATCTCCAACTCAGCCTGTGAGGTGGGCGTTTAAAGCAGTCATTAACTGCCATTTTGGTTATTTTGAACTGTTCTCTGAGACTTATGACGTCAATGTTTTTTATTTAAATCACAAAACATCATAACTTTAAAGTAATAATCTATTTCTATCCTGAGCACACTTAAAATAATTGTGGTAGATTGTAGACTGGGGTCAACCAAACTTGTTCCTGAGGGCCGGTGCCCTGCAGAGTTTAGCTCCAACCCTAATCAAATAAAACTGAACAAGCTAATCAAGGTCTTACCAGGTATACTAGAAACATCCAGGCAAGTGTGGTGACGCAAACTAAAGCTAAACTCTGTAGGGACACCTGCCCTCCAGGACTGGTGTGATTTAAAACAGGAAAAAAAAGCTACATGGTAAGTGCTTTATAGTAAACGCTGTAGGCATCGTTCCCTACAAATCCAATATTTGCAGAGGATCATCTTTCTTTCTGAAAATCCAGTGTAGATTTGTTCCTTGTTTTCTAAACTAAGGTGAGGTAAAATAAGCAAACAAAGGTACACACTCTTACTGAAGTGAGGCAGAAACTCATTAAAAATTAAGTCATCCATTTATTCCTAATGTTCAGATCATAAATAAGGAACTTATTGACATCTTGTTTTTCAGAGCCAATTTCATCATTTGATTTCTTTATAGATGTGCATTTGCTTACATCTGTTTTTTGCCTGTGTGGATCTTTGGGCAAAGCTTAACAGGCAGTGGTCAATTTACTTCTGTGGAGGTGGAGTTTAACCACACTATTACATAAAGTGTCACATTTCACAATCTGTCATTTTGGCAATATGAGTTCTGAAATATATGCACTGTAAAAAAGTAATGCTGCCTTAATTTTTTAAGTTGAATCAAATTAACTATTCTAGCCATGTAAACTTAAATTAAAGTGATTAAAATGTTAAGGTAAACTTTGCATAATTAAAAAGATTTGGCTGAAACCCGATTAACTTAACCTGATTAACTTACTTTAATAAGTTAAAATAACAGAAAAATATTTGTTGTCTTATTACATTTTTTACAGTGTAGGAGGTCTTACAGTATAATACAATGACATGTCAAAAGTCTATGGAACCCCAGGAAGGGACATAGTGGAGGAGAAAAGAATTGGCTGGGTGAAAAAAAAAATAATGGGTGAAAGAAAAAAATGGGTGGGAGGAAAATATATATTTCTAAGTTTTTGCGTTCTCTCGCAAAGATGTTTTGCGTTCTCTCGCAAAACTGTTTCTCCACAAACACTTCCTGTTCACTTCACTCACGTAAACCCTCCCGTTTTTGCTGAAATTCTCTCATATTTTACCATTCTACCCCACTTTCTTTACATTACTGTGCGCTGATCGTCGCCTTTCACTTTGCAACCTCTGAACCAGTGAATGCATGTATAAGCGCTGACTGACAGACGCGCTCCATACAACAAACTGATCCCAGATCAGCGTCTGTACGCTCCATTTAAAGGGACACTTCTGTTATCAAACAAGTGAGCAGCAAATGAATCTCATGTTTTGTTTAGTTTGATAACAGAGGTGTCTCTGTAAGAATGCACAGATCTATAATGAAAGCAGTCCATTACTATAGAAACTGTTTGTGCTCATTTAAGAAAAAGTAAGCTGTTTAAAACAAAACATGCAGGATGTTTCATATTATTAGTGTATTTGTCTGTTTAAACATACAACCGCTCCCCTGTAAATGGCGTGTACAGACGCTGATCTGGGATCAGTTTATTGTATAGAGCGCGTCTGTCAGTCAGCGCTTATACATGCATTCACTGGTTCAGAGGTAGCATATGAAAGTCGACGATCGACGCACAGTAATGTAAAGAAAGTGGGGTAGAATGGTAAAATACGGGAGAATTTCAGCAAAAACGGGAGGGTTTACGTGAGTGCAGTGAACAGGAAGTGTTTGTGGAGAAACAGTTTTGCGAGAGAACGCAAAACATCTTTGCGAGGGAACGCCAAACATCTTTGCGAGGGAACGCCAAACATCTTTGCGAGATAACGCAAAACTTTGCGAGGGAACACAAAACATCTTTGCGAGGGAACGCAAAAACTTAGAAATATATATTTTCCTAACACCCATTTTTTTCTTTCACCCATTATTTTTTTTCACCCAGCCAATTTTTTTCTCCTCCACTACGTCCCTTCCGGAGTTCCGTAAAAGTCAAACGAACAAAAAACATGTCAAAAGAACAAGGAAATTGATGTTCTTGAGTTTAAAATCTCTTTAAATCAACTTTGTCTTACCTGGGTTTTTCCTGAGGAAGCTCTGCAGAAGTTTCTTGAATCAGCTGAGCTCTCACATCCTGGTCCATGGCAGAAGAATGAAATCCATCCAGGACAAATCCACCCACAGGACGCTTAGCAGTCTCCCGTGCTGAGCGGAGCCTCTCTTCCAAAATATCTCCACCTTCCACAACCCCAAATATCTCAGCATGTTTTAATTCCTGGAGGACAAAAACAGTGTCTGCAAATGTTTTTTGAAAATGTACATGCTGTGCATTCTTTTCAAGATGCATTATTTTGTTGATCTGATCACTAGTGGACTATGCAAAATATAGGCGTAAATGGGATAGTATAAAAAGTTTTTCAGCTTGTCCACTTTTGACCACTTCCAGACGTGGTCAAAAATGCATTCTGTCAGACTGCATTTGTGGTGTAGACAGTGGTGTAAAGTAACTAATTACAAATACTCAAATTACTGTAATTATTTACTTTTTCTCAGGAGTTGTAATTTACTGAGTAGTTTTAAAAATGTGTACTCCTACTCTTACTTGAGTACATTTTTAGTGCTGTATCTGTACTTTCACTACTTTCCTTCAACCTGCAGTCACTACTTTATTTTTTCTTGTCTATGGGGATTAGAAAAATCAGTCCTGTGATTCCTGTTCAATCAAATCACACATAGAAGGTAAATCGCCTCATAATTGTAAATCTATCTCAAGACATGGGCGATTTATAAATGCAACAAACTGTTTGGAAGCATTAAAAGTGTCCAAGAAGACGTCCAAAATCAATATCAGTATTTGACGAAATAGGATGTTGGTTTAAGATGTTGGCTCAACATTGGATTTTGGTCACTTTCTAACACAACCTTAAACCAAACCAAATATCATCATCATTTAATGTCATTATTAGACATCAAAATAACGTTATCCTCAGACACTGGCTAGACATTGAATTTTGGTCACTTGACATCACAACCTAAATCTAACCCAATATTAACGTCCTATGACATTGTGTGCCTGCTGGGCAATAACTACATGCACTACAGAATGTTACGTTTACACATCCACAAATTACATGTAAACGCATAAGCTTTTCACAGCAAAATACTCACTCACTACTCATGAGTACTTTTAAAAGGGCTACTTTTTACTCATACTTTGAGTAATATTTACAACAGATACTTTTACTCTACTTGCACTACATTTTTAGGCAAGTAATGGCACTTTAACTTGAATATGATTTTTCAGTACTTTTTCCTCCACTGGGTGTAGATTCAAACAGGAAAACAACTAAAATAAAAAATATAAAATATATTTTAAAAAAAACACACAATCAATAATTATTTATAGATTCAAATAATTGTCAATAACTATTTATTTCAAAAACAATGCACTTTTGGTCCTGATTTAGTCCTGAAGGCTACAGAAATCATCATATGGTTACTTTGTGTTTTTGCTGTTTTTCCCATTTGTTCATACAATGGCAAAAAATTATTTGCTTTAAAAATAAAAAATATAAATGTGGTAAGGGTGGGGTAAATGCCTAAAAATCTGTTAATTTTGTCTAAATTTTGTAATATATTTAAAATTTTACTTTACAAAAATAAATCTGCATTTTTACATCTGTTTAATATCCGTTTATAAATCTGTATTTTTCTACAAATAACTAAAGCAGCTTTTTAACCACAACCTGTAAATTTATGTGGTGGAGTAGAGGTTTTTGAGTGTTTTAATTAACATACAAAATCATTAATGTGCTGTTAATAATGTTCAGTCAACAAAACAAATGTTTTATAATTAGATATTTGCAAAGATTTTATTTGTAAAAACTCTTTATCCTAATACTTTTAATGTTATAAAACACCACAAAGGAATGAAAATACTCTAAATTAATCACTAAATTGATTATGTATATTTAACTGGCTTGTAAATTTACCATTTACTCAGTATTTCTGACGATGAAAATGCTCATGAGCACATCATAGTTATTACATTTTATTACAGTTATTTCATTATGTCGATTGTAAGACAGCCATAAGTATACTGAACAAAAGACATGCAATTACAGTATTTCAAGTCTCACAGCATGTCCAGGATTCAATGCCTGTAGCTAACTACTTCACAAGAGTAATAATTTCTTCCACACTCTCAGCACTGTAATCTTTGGCAATTTGAAGTGTGAATTTTCAAACTGTGTGATTAAAGATTTACAATATTAGCCAACTAAGATTTAACCAACTTGCTGCCTATAAAAGACTTTTAACACACATTTAAATGACTTTTTAATGATTTGTTTAAATTGCTATAAATGTATTACATTGTGAAACTCTCTTTATGGGGTAAACTAAACATTTATGGGGTAAAATATAATGGTTTCATCTAATTTAAAGAGCCCATATTATACATGAAATAGGGTCATATCTTGGTTGTAAGGGTCTCCAACAACAGTCTAATATGCATGCAAGGTCAAAAAACACTTTCATGGTCTTATAATCTGCATTTATTTTTACCTAATTATCCCAGCGACTCCTGTATGAATCGTCCAGTGATTAATTTGTTCCCAAACCCCTCCTTAGCGCGGAGCTAATCTGCGCTGATTGGACCGATGACAGTCTGTCGCGATTGGTCGACTGCCTTCAGTCAGAGAGGGAAATGGCCAATAGCTAATCAGCAATTTAAAAAGTAATCACAGTTCATACACGCTCGATAGTGTAGGCGTGGATTTTAGCTGCCACACTATGGCGAGTGGATAGTGCCACGGATAACCGAACGAAGGAGACAGTCGTGTACTCGCCATACCACACACACACAAAAACACACACACACCTCCGGATGACAACGCTCCCGCTTCAGCCCGCACCCGCCAGGTTTTAGCCTGAGAACCCGCTCCGTTTTCTGCCCGCCGCGCCCGGTCCCGCTAGAGCGGAGAACACAACCAAATATCACCCAGTATACAGTCCAGACAGCCAAGCTGTCTGTATAAAAACACACACACAGCACAAAGTACACAAAGCTCGTTCGTTCGTTCGCTCTCTCTCACTCTCTCTCTCTCTCTCTCTCTCTCTCTCTCTCTCTCCCCGCGCCAGATTTCTGCGGCGCGGGAATACATTTCCGAATAAATCGCGGGAGCAGAACTCTAGCACGGAGCTCCATAAACAAACAGCACGCGTCGCGTTTTTAACGTGACTTTGCACGCGATAAGATAATATATCCAGTTAACCTGATACAGTACACGCGGTTACAAGTAACAAATCACAACTAAATACATTTGCAAGCTAGAGTAAACGAGGCAACAACTTTAACCGCACGTACTTACACTTGAGAAATGGAAGAAACCCATCCTGACGTCCATCAGTTACTCTTTACTGATCCTTCCTTTAACAAACTCAGATGAAGTATTCTTTGTAGCATGTAGCTTCCAGAAGTTTCCAACTGCTTGGTTATAATGCTGATGTTTCATCTTTGGGTAGAGACTCAATATAATATCCTTCTGCAGTGTGACTTCAATCGACCGGCATGTTTGTGTGCGTGTGTTTGTGGGTGTGCGTGTGTTTGTGGGTGTGTGTGTGTCTGGGTTTCTGCGTCAGAGGGCGGGGCCTCAGGTTTGAAATCTCCCGGGTTTGCGCGTGCACGTGAATAACTTGGTTTCGTTCGTACGTCATGGCGAAACACCTAATGAATTGGTATCAAGGCGACTCGTTTGAAGCACTATGAGTCGACTCTTTTATAGATGAATCAACCGTTTTAAACACTGTATTCTTACAGATTTAAGCCTTAGCTGGATACTTCACTTCACTTAGAGCTGTGTTATACACTACATGGAGGGGAATTTTCAAAAACCCATAATATGGGCTCTTTAACAACATATAACAGGTCATGTGAAAAAAATATATAATATAAAATTAATTACTGTACGTGAGATATCACTTGGGCAGCATGGTGGGGGCAGTGGGTAGTGGGTTCAAGCCTCGGCTGGGTCAGTTGGCATTTCTGTGTGGAGTTTGCATGTTCTTTCCGTGTTGGTGTGGGTTTCCTCCGGGCGCTCCAGTTTCCCCCACAGTTCAAAGACATGCAGTATAGGTGAACTGAATAAACTTAACTGGCCATAGTGTATGTGTGTGAATGTAAGTGTTTATGGGTATTGGGTTGCAGCAGGAAGGGCATCTGCTGCGTTAAACATATGCTGGATAAGTTGGCGGTTCCATTGTTATTAATAAAGGGACTAAGCCGAAAATAAAATAAATAAGACATCACTAATTGAAGATACATTATGCTTTAGGTATAATGCAACAAAACACTTAATTTCACAAACTTGTACTAATATAATAGCAATGTATATTCGGCACATTGAATTATTTTATAAATCTTGACTATTCTATTATTTTATTTTTAATGAACGAATGAAAAGTTTCAAAGTAGAGGTTAAAGGTTGTGATGAAATAAGCTTTAAAAAGCAAGGGTGGAAGAAAGAAAGAAAGATTTACACACTTTATGACAAAATATGAATACATTATCGAAACAATTAACTAACAAAAAAAGAGGAGAAAAAAACACAATAACACCACAAGTCAAAAGATGGAAGATCATCCATGGCTTTAAATTCTGTTAAATCAAGAACTATTGTTGACTTAAAATTTTAAACTCATATTTCATTAAATTGCATGCTTTCTGGTACTATACACTGTATTTTTAGCTTTTTTTATTAAAAACTAAGAAGTTGACATTTAAAATGTTTTCTCTGAACATATTTAAACACACAGATAAAATGTTTGTGGAAAAGGTTTCCTCAAAAAACACAAAAAAAACATGTTAAACAGTAAACAAAGGCTCAAGTCTGGAACATTGCAATGCATGAAATACAGTTACTCTCTGTAAGCAGAAAGGGCAATCGTGGCCAATATCAGGACTTACAATTGAGAAAAATAAACATTGCAATTGCACCATTCAAAATTCTCCACTGCAGATCCTAGAGTCTTTTAGTTAATGGTGACTTGTACAAAGTTCACCTTGGAGGGTGTTCATCCTCTTTCAACTGTAAAATATCACGCCATGGAGCATCCGCTCAAAAAAAAAACTTTTTTCTTAAGACTTTAACACATATTTTATATAAATCCTACATAAAGACAGAGAGAGAGAGAGGGAAAAAAGAAAGAAAGAAAGAAAGAAAAAAAGAAAGAATTTAGTCCACATACTATTATTTACTACAGACAAGCTTAGCTAATAGTGATGACAATCTCATTTATTAGATATTTTTCTCATCCTTTCAACCCTTACCACACCAAAACGATTTTCATGTTTGCACTATGAAGGCAGTTTAAATTTAGGAAAAACTTTCTTCTAAAAAAAGTTTGATTTGTCTGACTCTATGGTTCTCCCTGACACATTTATGTCCAGCGCTGAGGTGTTCAGAATATACCAGTGGCCATTTATCATTTTGATGGGGAAAGCATCCTGCAGTCAGTGACAAGCATTCTGCTCTCAGTGTGTTTTTGTGTACTGACCTGAGTTTTCTGGTGCAGGACCAGACATTCATCCAGATGGGCCAGAGTCCTGTCCACTGCTTTGCGGACTCTCTTGCGAGATGTATTGGCCTGCCAGGTCTCTCCGTCTGCCATGCTCTGATAGCAGTCGGGCTGGACGGCAGCCTGAATCGACATGAACCGAGCCGCCGTCAGCTCTATCCTTCCACCACTGCCCCACACCGACACTGTCTGTTAAATCACAAACCATTAAATCCCTGACAATTAACACTGAAGGGTGGCATTGCTTTAAAGGACGCAAAAGCGCTCTCTCTGAGCCAAAACGCAGTGGTGGAAAAGCAATGAGATTTGACTAAATTGCCCTTTAGGACGTTAATTGAATTTGAGTCCATCTGACTGACAAAAGAAGCTGAAGACAACAATTCGATACAGTTCTCTAACCTTGTTGGTGACGTGACCGGCAGGACTGGGGCTCGCAGAATCATGAAGAGAGCAGAAAATCACAGTATCACGAAGACCTGCGGACAAAAATAAAACCCATTGATTTAATGTTAATTATAATTGTGGATCAGGCCTTTATTCATACATCACGTCACAAAAAACTGCTCCTGAGCAAGGTTAATATTGTTAACAAAAATACAAATCCATAAAAAAATGATTTTGTCACTTGGGACAGAATAATTGTTAAAGAAAATTAAATTAACATGTTTTTCTTTGAGCTGCCAAGTCAATGTCTGTCATTTTTTTTCTTTGTTTACTTTTTGTATACTAAAATAAACAAAACTGACAAAATAGATTAATAAATAAAACGTTTAAATGTTGATGTTATATTAATAAGTAACACATGTTGAAATTATATATGTGTGTGTGTGTGTGTGTTTTCTGCACTCACTGGCTGCTTTATTAGTTCCACCTTACTAGTACCAGGTTAGACCCGCTTTTGCTTTCAGAACTGCCTTAATCCTTAAATGCATAGATTCAACGTGGTACTTGAAATATTACTGGGAGATTTTGGTCCATATTGACATGATAGAATCACGCAGTTGCTGCAGATTTGTCACCTGCACATCCAGGATCCGAATATTTCGTTCCACCACATCCTAAAAGTGGAATTGGATTCTATTGGATTGAGTTCTGGTGACTGTGGAGGCCATTTGAGTACAGAGAACTCACTTTCATGTTTAAGAAACCAGTCTGAGATGATTCACGCTTTATGACATGGCAATTTATCCTGCTGGAAGTAGCCATTAGAAGATGGGTACACTGTGGACATAAAGGGATGGACATGGTCAGCAATAATACTCAGGAAAGCTGTGGCGTTGACACGATCCTTAATTGGTACTAATGGGCCCAAGGTGTGCCAAGAAAATATCCAAGACACCATTACACTACTACCACCAGCCTAAACCGTTGATACAAGGTAAGATGGATCCATGCTTTTATGTTGTTGACGCCAAATTCCGACCCTATCCGAATGCCAGAGCAGAAATCAAGATGCATCAGACCAGGCAATTTTTTTACAATCTTCTATTGTCCAATTTTTGTGACCCTGTGCAAAATGTTGCCTCAGTTTCCTGTTCTTAGCTGACAGGAGTGGCAGCCGCTGTGGTCTTCCACTGCTGTAGCCCATCTGCCTCAAGGTTCGATTTGCTGTGCGTTCAGAGAAGTTCTTCTGCAGACCTCAGTTGTAACGAGGGGTTATTTGAGTTACTGTTGCCTTTCTATCAGCTCGAACCAGTTTGGCCATTCTCCTCTGACATCAACAAGGCATTTGCACTCACAGAACTGTCGCTCACTGGATATTTTGTCTTTTTCAGACCATTCAATGTAAACATTAGAGATGGTTGAGCATGAATATCCCATTAGATTCGCAGTTTCTGAAATTCTGAAAGGCATCCGCTTCGTAATACATACACTGGATAAGTTGGCGGTTTATGCCACTGTGGCGACCCTAGATTAATAAATGGAATAAGCCTAAAAAAAATGAATGAATTAATTAATTTAATTAAATTTCAATTCATTGTTATTTCTACAGTGCTTTGTACATTGTAGATTTCAAAAGCAATATCTTATATATGGCTATTTACATGACTTCAATGCCTTGATTTTCAAAGATATAAATAGTCCAAACAAGCAGTTCGTGACGACAGCAAATACACTTGTTATTCAGCATTTAGTAAATCCTTAACAGTGATGGAATGCATGAGAACAGTCCATAGCAATCAGGCAGAACACTTCTTCATTACATCAACACTGTTTACTGCAGAAATAAACAACCAAGAGCTCAACTTATTATTCTGAAGATATAAAAATGCATTTATATGGAGATTAGGACAAATTGGGGCACTGATGAGGGCGGTTGATGGCAAAAGTGTGCATTTGCATAACAAATTCCCAAAAACTAATTTCCAACTGCAGATTAGAGGAACATGCATGACTATTAAAGGAGGAAGCTAAATTCAGAGAGACTGTATATGGAAATGTTGGAGGTGAACTTTGGTGACCAATATTATCGTGCACAATAATTTTCTTTTTGTAATTATCCAAATAGTGCAACAGCAGCTGCCTCAGGTCACCCTTTGAAATGTCTTTACGGTCACACATCTTAATATTGTGAATGCAATTACCTTTCTCATTTCTGGATGGGCTGCTGAAGGCAATGACTGAAACAGAGCCCTTCTTTTCGTTTTGGTTGCAAAATGAAAACTCAAAACTCATTTTTCTAAAATGCATCTGCTGTACGCATCCAAGCATGAATGCATAATTACTTTAAACAGTCACTTAATAGTCAGTGACAGGAAGAGCAGTTGAAAACATGCTTTCAGCTCTAAAATGTAAAGTCAATTTTGATTGTAGGAAAAGTAATGGTATTTTAAAAAAAAATCTTAATTTAATTATTAGTTTTTAAATGATCTAATATTGATTTCCATTCTATTGTACAATGACTAGTCCAATCCTGCTCCTGAAGGGCAATTGTTCAGCAAATGTCATAACTGGTCCAGATTGAGAAGTTCAATCACGTCTTATAATTTCTAGAACTCTGAGCTAAAAAAAAACATTTTTCTTTTTACCGGAGAACTTCCTACCAGTTTCACCACCAGAATCTTTGGCAATTGTAAGTGTGAATTTTCAAACTGTGTGAGTTACAGTTGTAGCCAAAAAAATAAATAAATAATAAAACCCACATTCCTGGCATGAAATAATGTACAATACTCTTTACAAGAAAAAGCACCAGTAGCAGTGATCATATTTTTCAATGATTTTACACTAACTAAAGTGATGGTGTGTTTTGCAAGTATAATTGGCCAGCATTCTTATTCTGTTGCTTGAATTATGAGATAAATGGATTATTTATATGGGTCAAAACCATGAGGTAACCTTTGACATCAAAATAAATGAACGTAAAAGAATCATCCACTTATGAATCAAATTTAAATGCAATATAAATAATCGTGTAGCACAAATGATCCAAATCATACTTATTCCAACCAGAATAACCATTTATTGATTCTGTTTTTTTAAGAAGGAATAAATCTGATGATGAAAGCTGCAATGACTCTCCTTATCACCCACATTCTCACGTCACTCATACACACATAAAAAGTGAATTTGTTTTAATGAGTTTTGTGAATTGAAATGAATTAGCGAAAACATATTTTGCTCTTTGCATTTTAGTGCAGTACTACCGTATTTACTGCTGTTATAGCATTAAAAATAAACAGCTAATAGTTACAAATATTTAAAGTGTCTTTTCATTTAATGCACGAGTCCCACTTTTACTGATTTCATTAGAAGCTATTGTTACTCTAGACCTGAATAGGCCTGTGCACTCTTCAGCGCTCATCATGACAAGATTTATAGTACTCCCAGCAAATGACGTTGCATTCTAAATAATTAGATCTGCATTCTCATAAAACTACTCCGTTCTCTCTGTTTACTCAGTTCTCTCTTTGTTACTGTTGTACTTGACCAATGTGAGTTCAAAACTGACAGTACGAGTGGAGCCATGGCAATTTCACAAAGCTTCACTCGGGCCCCTCTGTGTAGTTTTTTGCGGTTTGCGTACGTAAATGCAAAATCGCAAAGAATATTACGTTTGTTGCTTGAAATGTGCCGACAAGCAACATTCCACGTATGCGGCATGGATTGACGCCCGATTTGCTTGTGCACTCCCTGAGGTGAGGCGGCCCATGCACGCTTAGGCAAGGTGCTACACAGGGTTTTATACTGGGCCGGTACTGGGACCTGCTGCCATGGTTATGGTGGGAGAGAGCATAATGGCACACTCACCTTCTATTTTAAACTATGGTTTTAAACTTTAGTTTACTTTTAAACTTTAGTTTATTATAGTATAAAATTGAAAATACATTCTGTGATGATTAAATTTACCTGTTTGATGTGATGTTTTGTTTTTGTTTTTTAGCAGGGTTGTTGAGCAAAGAAGACTTCTTTTAACTACGTGTTGCAATGCCATCAAGTCAGCTGTGCTTCAGAGCAACACAGTGAAGTCAACCACGATTTAAATTTATGAGCGCTTACTACAATGGATTCTCGGTTAGCAGTCTGTATTTTCTGTAAGTAACGATCTTTCAGATTTGAGTTGTGTTTTTATTTTTCCTATAGTCTACTGTATTAGTCATACAAGTTGACTACTGCTGAACGCATTTTTATGTAATGTGGTTTGAAAATAAATATAGGTTTTGAAAATGTTGAGTTGAACATCCAGATTTAGTAAAAGCAATACACACAGAGCAGACCTTCATTGAATTAACATTGAATCAACAGTCAAAAAGTAAAAAATTCAGTTCAATGTTACATTTTTAATCAGGTTTGCACCCTCAAATAATGTTTTTTTTAATAACAGAAACAGATTCAAGAACACAGTCTTATTGAAAAATTATGATAAATATTGTCTGTTAACAAGCAAAATCACTGAAAAAACACAAAATGATTTAAGCTGATCTTGATCTGTGTTTCATTATTTACAGTTAAAGTCAGAATTATTAGCCCACCTGAATTATTTACCCCCCTGTTTATATTTTACCCAATTTCTGTTTAGCGGAGAGAAGATTTTTCAACACATTTCTAAACATAATAGTTTTAATAACTTGTTTCTATTAACTAATTTATTTTATTTTAGAAAATAATATTTTTCAAGACACTTCTATACAGCTTAAAGTGACATTTAAAGGCTTAACTAGGTTAATTAGGTAACTAGGCAGGTTAGGGTAATCAGGCAAGTTATTGTATAATGATGGTTTGTTCTGTAGACTGTCAAAATAATATATAGCTTAAAAGGACTAATAATTTTGACCTTAAAATGGCTTTAAAAATAAAAACTGCTTTTATTCTAGCTGAAATTAAACAAAGAAGACTTTTTCTAGAAGAAAAAACATTATCAGACGTACTGTGAAAATTTCCTTGCTCTGTTAAACATCATTTGGGAAATATTTTAAAAAAGAAAAATAAATTTAAAGAGGGGCTAATAATTCTGACTTTAACTATATGTGTATGTTTATAACAGTCTATATTAGTATACTGCTGTTTGTGTAAATTATGCATTTTACATTTACAAAAGACACGTCACCTTATGAATAACAATTAGGTAATGTTTGTAGGTTTGAACTACAATACTACTTGTAAATACATAAAGAAAGAGTCCTAAATAAATAAAAAATAAAATTAAAAATAGTTTATTTAGATGTAAATAAAAAAGTCAAGAATGACAAGAATGGGTATTACTTTGGTTTTAGGCCAAATTGATCAAAAGTTTTGATTCACTGCCAATGTTGACTACTGTATACCAGCTGGTACAGTCTACCAAGTATATCATAATTTCAGAGTTTAAAAAAATCAAGTACTTTTTGGCAAGCAAAGTAAAATTTAATCATATAAAATATATTTTTCAGACAACATCTATTTTAGCTGTTGAAAATGCCAAATGGCTGTTCATTTTGGAAAATGATTAGCAACAGTGGCTGGTGAGCAAAAAAGTAGATGTCAAGCCAACTTATAAAATGTCTGGTGGCAACGAATAAAAATTTTAAAACAACAATTAACTATTATGAGGCATATGAACGAACAGTTATTTCACTGAATTACGTTTTA